GGCTCCAATTTACCATATTCACAGTTAAAAGTGTATGGCTTACTGTGGTCTATAAACAAGCAATTTTCTGATAACATCTATATCTGTTCATAACATTTAGTGACACTATTAATTTTTTTTTCAAATATTTCATGTTAAATTAAAAATTTTCATGTTAAATTAAAACATAAATTAAATTAAAACATATAAATTAAAACATATCTCTGTCATCTGATGACAGACAATAAAACACACAGCTTGCAAAGTTCATTTTGCACAAAGTATATGGGTTTTTAATTTTTCTGGGCTAGATTATTAGGACACATTAATAAAGGGATTTTTTGGTAAAGGAAATGTAGATTTCTAGTATGGACAACTAACCTCCTTTCGGATCCATAAGGATCTTCCACAAATAATAACTACAAATTCTGGACAAAATACAAAACAAACAAAACACCAAAAGCACTCAGATGACCATAAATAGGAAAACATCTCAGTGAACTGTGTACATGCCAACAGTAGAGGATGCCTGAGCAATTAAAAACAAGAACCAATAAGACAAGCAACAACACAATGAATCTCAAAACCATCAACCTAAGCAAAAACAGTCACACACCTAAAAGTATATATGGTACAATTTCTTTTATGTGGAACTCTCAAAAAAACAAATCTAATCTGTAGTAGGTAAATAAAACAAAACAGAACAGTGGCTGCCTCTGGTGTTTTAGGCAACTGACTCTGAAGGGGCATGCATAATTTTCAGTAGCTTGATGGGGGTTTTGTGTTACACAACTGTATGCATTTGTCAAAACTCAGGCAAAGTGCAGTTAAGATTTGTGTATGTTATGACTTGTATATTTTACCTCAAAGGAAAAAAATGCAAAATACAGAACTCTATTAATGACATGCATGATGAAGTATTTAGGGGGACAGTGTACTGATGGGTGCAATTTACCTTGAAATGCATCAAAAATAAGACAGACTAATGAACAGAGGGTGTACAAATCGGTAAAAAAACATGTGACACAGCAAATGTAGTAAAATATTAAAGGCAAAAATCTTGGTGTGGCTGGATATAAAAGTATTTACTGTAAACTTCTTTCAAGTTCAAAGTCTTTCAAAAAATTTAAGAGGACCTTCTCCCTACCCAAAAAAAGAAGATAAATGACATAGATCCATTCAGAGCAACTCCTGTCTAACATCATTTCCTTTCTTATTTTAACAGGCCTACTACCAGACTAGTAAATCAGAGAAAGACAGAGAAAGACAACTGACAACATATTTGGACTCCAATAAATTTGGGTCTTTCTTCAAATTCTGATCAAAGCAAAAAACCTCAGATTGTATAAATAATAATGATAATATTAAATATATAACAGAATTAATGATATAATAAATAACATTTAGTTAATATAGTATATAATTAATGATATATAATTATAACATACAATTATATAGTATTATTACACAATAATAATACTGTTGTGTAAAACACTCTTTACTAGACAGCTTCCTAGTACTTCATATGTATTAACTATTTAATCTCTACAAAAGTCCTATGGGGTAGATACTATTATCCATATTTTGCTAATGGGGAAACTAAGGCATGCATATGTTAGGTAATTTGCTCAAGGTCACATACTTAGTAAGTGTCAGAGCCAGAAATCAGAATTCAAAAGAGTCTGGGTCAGAACCCCTGCTCTTAACCACTTCCCTGTGATTTCTCTCTTAGTTGACTTCGTAACTGACATAATATAATATATGGCATTCTTAAGTTTATGGATGACATGAAACTAGGAGCAAAAGCAAATACATTACTTTACAAATTATCCAAAAAGACTAAGGGTCATACATATAAGAGTCTATAACAAGATAAAAGTCTATAGGGATAAAATAAAAGATTCTGCATTTGAGTACAGAAAACCAACTATACCTCCAGTGACAGCACTGGTACACAGCAGGTGTTTGGCAAGAATTTATCAAATGAAAATACGATTGAATGACAAAATAAAGAGAATGTGTGAAACAGAGACACTTTAATAAGCCAAAAGCAAAATATGAATTTAATAAATAATGCTACAAAATGCAAATATATAACTATGTTATCTAGAAGTAGGTTAAATGAGAGCCCTATGAGACTGTTGTGGTTACACAAATTCCAGAAATTCCATGTAAATTCCTGGGAACTACACATACAGGTAAACTTGAACAAATTTAGAGCAAAAGTGCAGAACATAAAACTGTATTATCCGAGGTGTAACTGAAGAAGCTGCGAACATATAATGTGGAGAAAAGAACTCAAGTGAACAGGGTAACAAACTTCAAAGTGTAAGGTACTATTATGAAAAAGAAGGATCATTCTGTAATTGCCCTCAAGAATAAAAATAAGAACTGTCAACTGAGATTAGCTACAGGGGTTTTGGGAAAACAAATTCAGTGTCAACACAAGGAAGATTTTTCTAAAGAAAAGGCGGGGGAGAGGGTGGCTGAGTCATGGACATTGGGGAGGGTATGTGCAGATGATGAGTGCTGTGAATTGTCTAAGACTGATGATTGACAGACCTGTACCAAGGGGTACAAGTAATACATTATATATTAATACAAAATAATTTTTAAAAAAAGAAAAGAAGGGGCGCCTGGGTGGCTCAGTGGGTTAGGGCCTCTGCCTTCGGCTCAGGTCACGATCCCAGGGTCCTGGGATCGAGCCCCGCGTCGGGCTCTCTGCTCGGCGGGGAGCCTGCTTCCTCCTCTCTCTGCCTGCCTCTCTGACTACTTGTGGTCTCTATCAAATAAATAAATAAAATCTTTAAAAAAAAAAAAAAAAAAGAAAAGAAAAGGCAAGGGAGAAGGGATGACCTCACAAGGGTATGAATACCATAAACATGATATGGTAACTCAATGAAAGATAATCTCTCCCAAATTTAAGAACTTACTATATAAGGCAATTTTTATATTCTGTCATGAAAAGTTCCAGATAACATTCACCAGAACACACTTGCAATGAGAAAATTTAAATGTGAAGGGAAAGGGCCACCTGGGTGGCTCAGTCATTAGGTGTCTGCCTTCAGGTCCGGTGACAGTCCCAGGGTCCTGGGATAGAGCCCTGCATCGGGCTCCCTGCTCAGAGGGATACCTGCTTCTCTCTCTCCCACCTGCTCCTGCTTGTGTTCCCTCTCTCACTGTCTCTCTCTCTCTCTCTCTCTCTGTCAAATAAATAAATAAATAAATAAATAAAATCTTTTAAATAAATAAATAAATGTGAAGGAAAAATAAGAAAAGTTTTTGTCAAGTCCACAAATGGGGAGAGCTTTAAGATTAAAAGCATCAGAAGAATATTCAAAAGAAAGGAAAAACAAACTTGCTTACACCAATACTTAAAAGTTTTACATATAAAAACATCAAAAGGTAAACAAAAAGCTGTGCAATTAGGACAAATGGATTATATCTTTAATATACAGCTATGCCATACAGGACAGCAGCCACAAGCTACATGTGGCTATTGCAATTCAATTAATTTAAATTGCTCTTCAATTGATTAAACACTAAAAATTTACTTTCTCAATTGCACTAGCTACACTGCAAATGGTCAAAAGCTACTCTGGCTAGTGGTTACTGTATTGAAGAAGGCAGAAACAGAACATTTCTATCACTGCAGAAGTACTATTGGAACTTTAACATATAAAACAGATTAATTTAGCTCAGGGAATTCACTACATAGTTAACAGAAGAGCTGAGATGCCAATAGGCATCGTTGTGCAGCAACCCAGAGATGAGGAACAAGAGGAAGCCATTACCATCCCTAAGACAGAGGACAAAGTGCAGAGTCCAAAACCCAACATCACCTGCCAAAAGCTGGACCCATAGCAGGTGTGTTGGGTGGGGTCTGGAGATAAGAATGGGAAGCAGCCCCTGCTAGATAAACACCCTGTTGTAAAAAGAGGGGAAGGAATACCCCAACTTCTCTCCTCCTCTACCCTCCAATCTCCTGCCAGTACCTTCTGTGGCTGAACCCAGACAACACCGAGGTGACAAAGGAGCCTGGGAAATGCAACCTATAAAGGTCAGACCCTCTGTCAAAAAGGGCAGAAAAGGGAAAAAAGAACTATGAGGTCAAACAGGCTAAAGCCTGGCACAGGTACAAAGAGAATTTAAAGAAAAAAACCCACAAATGCCCAACATCTGAAAAATGTCCAACCTCACCAGTAAGTAAATATAAATTCAAACAATTACTATTAAAATAAAAGTAATATTAAATTAACAACAATAAACGATAACTCAGGTACTTAGTGCTGAAAAGGATATGGCAAAAACATATACACTTATACACTCCTAGGGAAGGAAATCAGCTTGCAAAATTTTTCAAAGAAATCTGAACAAATTTGCAATTAGCATCAACAATATTTTTTTAACCAGTTCCTCTTAAACCAAATGAAAGCAGGTCCAAGGATAAAATCCAAAGTCCAGAATACCTAAATTTCAGGAAATAATTTGAGCAATAAAGTTGTTCACTACAGCTTCATCACACTGAAGAAAAATGAACAACCTCAAAGTTGTCCAGTAGGTCAGCATTTATGTAAAATTAAGGTACATTAAAAAAATAATAATAAAATAAAATAAATTAAGGTACACTTATCCATTTATATAAAAAAAAAGAGTGCTTTTTGCCAGCCACAATGATAGGTACTGGAAATATGAAAAAAATGAAGAGGTAAAAATAGATTGATTTATATACATTTATATAGTGTTTATGAAGAGTTTCAACAAATTAAGGACATGTTTATGACATGGCTACTGAATACCAATGAATTGGAAATTGATTATACTCACATTAAACAAAATATGCCAAAGGTGAGTAACAGTGATTAGCTCTAAGTGGTAATTTTATGAGGTTTTATTTTTCCTTCTTTATACATTTCTGAACTTTCAAAATTTTCAAAATGAACTTTACAGTTCTCCTTCAGAGCTATTAATGTAAATGACAGTTTAAGAACTTCAAGCCTGCCACAATAGTGCTAGTTTACCTGTTGCAATAATAAACCGCATTATTTGGATCCAGATCTATTGCCTGTGTGTAACAATCCACGGCGGCAGCATAATTTTCCTCTTTCATGTGGTTATTGCCTGAAATAATCAGTATGTACAGTAACTACAATATACACAAAAAATAGAAAGTCTGAAAGACAAATCTGAATCACAGAAACTACAATAATATGAAGGTCAACAAGATGATTTTTCTTGTTTTTATTTTTTAAGTAAACTCTACCCACGATGTGGGACTTGAAAACTCAGGCTCCCAAGATCAAGAGCCACATGTCTGGGGCACCTGGGTGACTCAGTGCGTTAAGCCTCTGCCTTCAGCCAGGTTATGATCTCAGGTTCCTGGGATTGAGCCCCTGCATCTCTACTCAGCGGGGAGCCTGCTTCCCATTCTCTCTCTGCCTGCCTCTCTGCCTACTTGTGATAACTCTCTCTCTATCTCAATCAAATAAATAAAATCTTAAAAAAAAAAAAAAGCGGTATGTTCTACCAACTGAGCCAACAGACGCCCCCTCAACATGTTTTTTCAATGGCACTAAGAGATAAAAGTTATATTGTACTATACAGTTCATACTCCTCAGTCATCAGTGTGTTTGAATGATCCTAACAATGCAAAGTCGTAAAACAATTAATGTTTGCATACCTTATGAAATCTAGGCTTCCGTGAGTTAATGCAATAATTATGAACATCTAGGTGAAATCTAATCTCTTCTTACCTTCCTTATCTTCATCTCTCTTCTTTTTAGAGCTGCCCACCCCATTCCAGATACAACACCCTTCTCAATCATCATCTCAATCTGGATCCCTCTTCCAGTCCTCCCTGTCAAAACACACACCTGCTAAACAGTCAAGCCCTCAGAACTCTGCTGTGTGGGTAAACTGGTAAAATTAATCGTGTTAATATGTTATTGGCAGATAATATTTTTATGCACTACCCTTTCTAGAGATAAATTTTTAAAAGGGGATAGGTGGACATGAATTTCTACAAAGACAGAATTTCAGGTACCAGGGCTACCCCACAGGTACTAATTTTCAAGAAGGGCCTCTGCGGATACATCTGGAAATAATTTAGCTGGGGTAACAACTAGCCAGTAAAATAAGGGATTTCCTGGGGCTATCTTCTGTATTTCCTGAAATGGAATGTGTCCTGCTCACTGATTAATAACCACTGTCCAAAATCTAAATTTTAAAACACTGGTTAAGAGGAAAGATTTACATCACAAAGGTCTGTATTATTCCTTCCAAATTCCAATAAACCAGAAGTTCTCCTATTAGCTTGGTCTTTTAACAGATCATTAGCTACTTCATAGGAGGAGGACAGTACAACTTTACAAGGAACAGGAATAGGAAGATTAAAGGAAACGCAGGTAGACAAAAGCATCTAAAATCATGCAAAAGTGGGGCATCTGGGAGGCTCCATCTGTTAAGTCTGACTCTTGATTTTGGCTCAGGTCACTATCTCAGGCTGTGAGATGGAGATTGAAATCGAGCCCCTGCATCAGGCTCAATGCCTAAAATTCTCTCTGCCCCTCCCCACATCTCAAATACATAAATACATAAAATCATGTGAAAAGTTACTGCACATTAAGAATCAGGAATGCATCTAAGGAGTGACTACTAGAGACACCTGGGTGGCTCAATTGGCTAGACATCTGACTCAGTCTCCACTCAGGTCATGATCTCAGGGTGTGGGGGCTCTGCACTGAGCATGGTGACTGCTTAGAATTTTCTCTCTCGCTCTCCCTCTGCCCCAACTCACACCTACACAGGTACACATGCACTCTCTTAAAAAAACAAACACAAACAAAAACAGTGATTCCACTAATAGCTACATGGTTTCTTTCTAGGGTAATAAAAATGTTCTATAATTGTGGTAATGGTTGCACAGCTCCACGACTATACTACAAAACCAATGAATCTGTACACTTTATTTATTTATTTTAAAGATTTTATTTATTTATTTGAGAGAGAGACAGTGAGAGAGAGCATGAGCAAGGAGAAGGTGAGAGGGAGAAGCAGACTCCCCGTGGAGTTGGGAGCCCGATGCGGGACTCTATCCCAGGACTCCGGGATCATGACCTGAGCTGAAGGCAGTCGCTTAACTGACTGAGCCACCCAGGCGCCCAAATCTGTACACTTTAAAGGAGTAAACTGTATGGTATGCAAATTCTAGCTCAATAAAGCTGGTGGGTTTTGGTTTTTTTTTTTTTTAGATTTATTTATTTTAGATAGAGAAAGAGCAAGTGGAAGGAGGGACACACAGAGGGAGAGAGAATCTCAAGCAGACTCCCCCCTCTGAGAGCAGAGCTAAGGCAGGGCTTGATCCCAAGACCCTAAGATCATGACCTGAGCCAAAACAAAGATTCAGATGCTCAACCAACTGTGCCACCAAGGTAACCCTCAATAAAGCGTTTAAAAAAAAATTAATTTAGATCCCCACCCCCCAAAAGTAACAACTATAAAACCTCTAAGGAAGCTAAGAGGATTACATAGTTTTTGTGACAGAGCAAGATAATATTAACTACATGAGCCTAGGTACTTAAATAGGTTTGTTTCTCCTGTGCAAAGGAATTTTCTGGGTTATGTGGATTTTCTTTTTGCTCTTGGGCCTTTTCATCTTGGGTTCTTAGGGAGTCCTCTGGCACCACAGTGACCCCAAAAGTTAAAACCAGAAATAGACACGACCACTTAACTCATGCTCTAACTGAAATCCACTGTGCTTATTTCCTACCACATTATCTTGAGGCAACGATGAAGGTGTTGGGCAATGACCAGAACATTCCCACTGCCAGGCCAGAAAAGCACTGATAGTAACAGAATGCCTAGAAGACCACACACCATAGGTACCCATCCCTGTCCATGATCACATGCTGAAAACATACTAATCTGCAGCCGTGATCATGCGCTCCCTGCCTGCTCTCTGGCACCTACTCCCCTAAACCTCTCCCTGCAAAACTCCAGGAGTCCACCTTGCAGGCAGATAAGTGGGTTGTTAAGGCTTGAGCTGCCACCTCCCTCGGCAGCCGGTACCAGAAATAAATTCCACCTTTCTCTTTTCCAAACCCTCCTCTCTTGAGTTATTGGCTACTCCCGCAAGAGTGTATCTGAGTTTGTTCGTGACAGTGTTGGCAAAAGCAGCCAGAAGCTGTCCCTCTGACTGTCCAGTCCCTTTGGGGTTCCCAAGGACAGAGCAGCTGGCCCCAACAGCACCAGGACTCACTCATTCTTTCCTGAGTTAGCAGTTGTGACAGATCATTCACTAGTAGGGTGGCACTGTTAATATCATTATTATTAACATTATTAAAATCTATTGTATGTCTTTTCCTGTAAACCACCACCACATCAAATGTCTACATACTATATGTATACATACATTTATGTATAGTAACAATAAGCCTAAAGTTACGAAACATCTAACGTACAAATATTCAGGACACAGATGAAGAAATTTGTAAAGATAAATATAAATGAACATTTTATAGCAATTTATGCTTTTGTGGTCCTCTCCTATAAAATTGTCTCCTTTAATTATCAAGATGACCTGTAAGATATGCCTAGACTTTTGTGATGTGTGAGGAAATGACAGAAATGAAACCATCGTGGTTTTTTCTGAGCTTATTGCAGCTTTTCAGAAACCAAACACAAAAATATTTGAAAGCAATCTTTCAGGAAGGTAGCTGACTAGAAGCCTTGACTAACACAGGTAAGTATAACACACAGCCCGGAATAACCTTATGCTTGACAATCTACAATGGCCTTGTGGGGCTCTGCACTGGGTGTGGAGTCTGCTTGAGATTCTCTCTCTCCCTCTGCCCTTCCCTCTCACCTCCTTCTCACCTCCCTCCTTTCCCTCCCCCTCCCCCCGGTACACTGTCTCAATAAAATAAAATAAAATAAAATTGCTTTAACTTTGTGTGTAATGTGTCTTAGATATGATATGTCTTAAGGAAAACAAAGAATAAAAGCTTTTGGTTAAAGGCGAAAGCAAGAGTAGTTCAGTTACCCATGCTGGAACAGTAAATGACTCCTAATCCTCCTCTTACCAACATTCACTACATCATAGCAAACTGTATGGGGAACACAATCTCCTGCAGAGGGAGTAAACATGATGGACAAAAATTAAATTTCAATTTGCTATCTATTCAATATCATCCTCATTGATCTCAGACACTACAAAACTCTGAGCAAGAAAAAAAAAAAACAACAGGTTAAATTATTTCAATTAGAAACTAAATATATGGAAAATGCATTTCTATCTGGATAGCCTAAATTCAAATCCTTGTGGGGGAGTACTCTTGACTCAAATGACAACAAGGCTCTGGTTGTTGCTTAATTTTTTTACTGTTGCTTAATTTTTTATTAAAGATTTTATTTATTTATTTGAGAGAGAGAGAGAGAGCATGAGCAGGGGCAGGGGGCCCTGCAGGGGGGAAGGTACAAGCAGACTCTCCACTGAGCAGGGAACCTGACATGGAGCTTACTCTCAGGACCCCAGGATCATGATCTGAGCCAAAGGCTTAACTGACTGAGCCACCCAGGTGGCCCTTGGTTGTTGCTTACTTTTCCATGTAATCTATGAAAGACATCATTCTAAAATTTTAAGTCACTGTAGTACTATCCTTTCTTAGAGAAAATAGGAAATGGAAAATCGAAAGCTGTGTATTTGTTGGAAATACAGAACTTTATAATGTAATCCTACGACAATAATCACAGTAGTAAAAATGCAAACAAAGACATTATGATAATGTTATTTAGGATTAAAAATTATCCATCTAGGTAAGTAAATCATGGTCTTACAGTACCATGGAACACTATGTGGCCATTAAAAACAATGATATATGTATGTATTTATAAATTTAATAGAGAAGATAAGGCCCAAGGAATAGGAAAAACTCTCTCCCATATCTGCCATTTTAGACATCAACTGTTGGGTTTTTTGGTTTTTTGGGTTTTTTATAAGTAAACATCCTTTTTTCGGTGTAAGGAAAAGTCCAGAAAAATGGTTCTGAACCAATATTGTATAGCTTCAGAACATGGCATAATCCCTAAAACTCTCTGCCTATAGGACATGGAATTTCTTGGTTCTCATTCACTGCTAATATCAAAACTTCCCTCCAGCTTCTTAGTACAAATCTTGTATGCCTGACCTGACTCTCCTCTATAGCTTAACATAAATGACATGATAGAAAAATTGAACACAGATCCTCAACAGTGACTTATTTATTAGTACCAAGAATGCTTCAAGAGCCACTATTAGAAGATGTAGTAATGGGACGCCTGGGTGGCTCAGTTGGTTAAGCAGCTGCCTTCGGCTCAGGTCATGATCCCAGCGTCCTGGGATCGAGTCCCACATCGGGCTCCTTGCTCATCAGGGAGCCTGCTTCTCCCTCTGCCTCTGCCTGCCGTTCTGTCTGCCTGTGCTTGCTCTCTCTCCCTCTCTCTCTCTCTGACAAATAAATAAATAAAATCTTTAAAAAAAAAAAAAGAAGATGTAGTAATAGTAACTAATGTGCTAGCTAATACTTACGTGCCATATACACGCATTAACAAATTTCAAAGAATTCGAAAACAGTAAATATATACAAGAGTTAAAATAATACTGAAAATTATTTTCATCTCTTTAAACATAAAAAAGAATTTGGTATCCTGGAGTACACATAGCAAATTCAGTTATAAGTAATCTCCCTTTAAGTGACTTGTTTTCCAGGTCTTATTCACGACAGATCTGCTTCTCTTGGAACAAGACACAACTATATTGCTCACAAGCCATTCTATGTTTCTAGGTTTTTTCCCTATCACATTTATTTCTGTTTCACAAATACCATGTGGTCTTATGACAATCCAGGCTTGGCAGTGTAAACCAGAATCTTATCAACTGACAGAGTCATTTTCTCCAGAGTTTCAGAAAGTTTTACTAAATAAGTAATTTTTTTATGAAATCCTCACCTTCATCTTTTAATTGGTCAGCTTTTCCCACATCTTCAGGCACTGAGTTTGAGAGAGGCAAAACGTCATTCTGAAATTAAATAAAAATCAATGTATTTCCATTTAGCTACATAAAAAAGAGCCATCCCACAGAACCATAAATAATAATGAATAACCTGCATTACAGTAACTCATCTGCAATTACATGTGATGAAATTTAACTTGTAAATAAAAAGATTAGAAAGAAATAGGCAAATAGTCCTCTCACATAACTTTATTAGAAAAATGACTATGTAGAATTTCTCTAGAAGATAATGGGCTACTGTGAATCAAAGTTTTTTATTTGCTTTTCCTAGATCAAAAAATCCTACTTCATGCAGAACAAATATAAGTAACCAATATACTTAAAATACTATAACCATAAAATAAAGGTAAATTATACTATGGGTAATGGAGATAACTTGACTATTTACATTTATGCTACAAGTTTATTGCGTATTTTATTGACAAATACATTTTTAGTGAATGGAAATGCTTTGTTGTTTTAAATGAACATGCTGCTGAAAATAAATTCATTATATTTAAAAATAAAAACAGGATATTTTGTTATCCAAATTAGGTATTAGGTATAGTTGTGAAGATTTTTTTTCTGAAATTTCTAATAAATTCTATTAAATTCTGGTAAAATAAATAGATAACCAGTATACAAAGAATAGGAATACAAATATATTAAGAGATTTTTTTATATTAGTGAAAATCTTGAAACATGTTTAATATCTAAGGAGATAGCCCACTAAGTCAAATTCACGGTTTACAAAAAGAAGCACTAATAATATGATCCTATTACTTAAATACATGCACACACACATATACATGCACGCAGGCTAAAAAACAAAGACAGGAAAGGTCTAACACAAAAGGAGGTAAAATTTTCAGTCTCTTCTTTATATCATTCCATGTTGACCAAATTTTTTAAAACAGTGGACACATATTAATTTCATCATAAAATAAAAAAACAATGTAAATTTCCTGTTTTCAGTAGCTACTACCATCCTCAAACCTCCTTTGCATTCATAAGGTTCAAACCAAAGGCGCAAGCAGAAATATCTTGAGTGGCACCAGGAACATAATGCAGTTTTCCATTTTTGAAAGATCTTTTTAAAATTGTGCTGCTTTTACACTTGACTCTGAAGTTCGTGAGTAAAACTATAGTTTTCAAGAAAACATAATTTGTAGCTAATGTGCCTATGTACTACATTTAGAATATACCCACCAGGTTCTTTGTCTTGTCTAAAGTTTCAAGGAACTTGATAACTCCAACGTTCAAATATACTTCCCTAATTACACACAAATTTTCACAAGTATAAAATCATTCATCAAGTACATGAGTTGTTCTTATTTTTTGTAATCTTTCTCTACTAATCAGTTTTTCTAAGCATAAAGTATCCGAATAAAATGGAATAAAAAATAGAGTCGAAACGGGAATCCTTGTAACTAGAGGTCACTACTTAAAACTGACTACGGTCATAGGATGTAAGTGTAGTTCAAGGACACAGGACTGCCCCGCAGTACTTGCTGTCAGGGTTTCTTCTATGACATAAGCCTGGGCAGTTAATGCATGGGGAAAAAGTGGCTTTTTCAAGTCACAAAAAATGGCATATTGATAAAGGGACTCTAATCCATTCTGCCTTCTAAATCCTTCTGAATTATTTTAATGAAATTGCCACAGTTCTATATCTTTGAAAACTAATTCTCATATTCATTGAATACATTTGAGCAGCCCATAATGTAGGGATGAGGGTTATCTACCTTATATAAAAGGAATGAATCCATTTAGTATAGAAACTTAACTCCTAAAACTAAAATGATCAACGTAACAACCAAGGACACTTAGACAAATAATTTCTTTTTTTCTGAAGTTTTTAATTCCAGTTAGTTAACATACAGTATTATTTTAGTTTCAGGTGTACAATATAATGATTCAATAATTCCATACATTACTTGGTACTCACCGCAAGTGTCCTCTTTAATCCCCATCACCTGTTTCACCCATTCCCCCCCCACCTTCTACCCCTTTGGTAACCCTCAGTTTGTTCTCTATAGTGAAGTCTGTTTTTTGGTTTCTCTCTCTCTCTCTCTCTCTTTTTTTTTTTTTTACTCTTTGCTGTTTGCATGGTTTCTTAAATTCCACATATGAGTGAAATCATATGGTATCTGTCTTTCTCTGACTTGTTTCGCTTAGCATAATACCCTCTAGTTCCATCCATGCTGTTGCAAATGGCAAGATCTCATTCTTTTTTATGGTGAAATAGAGACATAATTTCTTTAATTATAACAATTTTGATGCTGCTTTAGGCAAGTTTTAGACTCTCTTTGAGGTACTCTCCTAACAAACACGTATGTGATGAAGTTGGTGCTGTTAAATAGGAATAATGAAGGATTAATACCACAAATAATACTGTGCAGATACACAATGCAGCCAATTCCAAGAAATTATATTTTAAAAATAGTAAGTAAAAAATGTTTACAATTAAATATAATCAAAGGGAAACAGTGAGAGAGAAAGAAAACAGAGCCCTATTTAAACAGAGCGCAAAAGTCAATTTGAGCCTCCTGGGAAGTAAAAAAAAAAAAAATTCTGATCTCTTTAGTATGAGGTGAACAGTGACAGGAGCTAAGGAATGAGCAAATCCAAGTGTTGTCTCAAGCACAAGCCTCTTGGGCATCTAGGACTTAAATAAAGTCAGCTTCAACCATGGGCATATCCAACCACTGCAGTGGGGTTCCCTAAGGAGGCCAGAAGCCCAGACAATCACAGCAACCAAAGGAGAGCAAAGGGGAATTCTCTGATGGGGGGCACAGAGACATGTCACTATCTCTTTACATCTTTGTCGTATAATTAGTATTGATCTGATAACCGCATTTTCTTTTTTCCAAGTATAGAAAGATGGAAGATAATACTGCCAACTTGCAATCTTCACTGCAATTCTCAGAACCTCTTCCAACAAGTTCTAGAAGCAGCCAACGTGGTAGTATCAGCAATGTCCCTGCCAGGCTGAAGTATACACTACATGCTTCGGCTTCTCCCCTGAGTTCCTCGTTCCCTACCGAAGCTTGAATACAGAACTAGAATAACAAAAGGAGTTCACGAGGCACCAAAATGTAATGAAAAAACACATGGGAGGTCACCCCAAGGCCCTAAAATCAGTAACCTTAAGATTTTTCAGACAGTTTAAGGGATGCGTGGGTGGCTCAGTCGGTAAGATGTCAGACTCTTGATTTCGGCTCAGGTCATGACCTCAGAGTTGTGAGATTGAGCCCCACATCAGGCTCTGCACTAGGTGTAGAGCCTACTTAAGATTTTCTCTTTCCCTCTCCTTCTACCCCTCACTGCTCCCTGCTTATACTGTCTCTCTACAAATCAATCACTCAATAAATAAAACTGTCTTTAAAAAAATTTTTTTTCAGGCAATGTTATGGTCCATGTTCCCTGAAAAGGCCAGAAACCAGAGACCATTATAAACAGTTCTTGAGAGCAGGGATATCAGAAAATTTGGCTTTTGGCATTGCTTTTGCACAATGACCCTGAAACTTCCCCTGTCTTAAAGAGTCCTGTCAATGGTCAAATTTTATGAAATCTGCTTCAAAATGATGATTCAATTCCTAATGAATCTACTTCTACATAGTTGCTTTGTAAACAGGAAAATTTTGTTTTTAACTTGTATTCCATGTCAGAAATCTAAAAATGCTCAGAGACTAAACAGGACTTAAAAAGCAACTAAGACATATCATTAAATATAAAAGAAGGTGAAAGGATGTGAACAGCTACTAATATGGAAACCTAAAGCACATTAAAAGTTATATTTTAGGTCCCAAATCATCTCTATGTGGACTATCTACCTTACACCTAGGAAGAAGTTAGTTACCTAAAGTCTAGCCCCTCAAATGTTAACAACCCAACATCATTATTGTAGTCATACTTAAATCAGATACTAATGAGAAAACAGTGACAGCTTACCTTACAGAAGGAGTTGGTGAACATTTCTGTCAAAGGCTGTGAAACTGCTAGATGGGTATCTTCTGGGCTGATTTTAAAAACTGTCTCCAAGCACTGAATTGCAACTTGAGATAAATTTGAATAGTGAAAAAAAAATTAGCAACCTAAAAAAAGAAACGACCTTTTTTTCTGGTAGAAATCTGCACTCTGTGCAATCTGTGGTAATTCAGTATTTATGATCACAGAACATAAGGAAAAACTAAATGGTTCAGCTACATAGAGATTTCTGTTTATAGACCAGCTGCTAAGGGAAGACAACTTGATTTCTTCTTCCTTACTTAAGGAAAAAAATGTTACCTAGAATATAATTTCTCAATATAGCCATTACATCATATTCTTATTGAAGCATGTCATTAACAACAACGGACTCCTCTCTGCCAATATCTGATTAACCACCTTGAATAAAACAAACAAAAAAGTCTTCTTTTTCAATGTGAGAAACAGAATTCTCAACCTGACCAAAAAGAGTAACAGAAACAAACTGGCTGGTATATTTACTTATGTGAAGATAGGTGGACTTTAAAAAAATTCACTCATGCCTGCAAATTTACCCCAAGCACCTACTATGTGCAAGGTGCTTTCCTAAGGTGCTTTCCTAATACAGCAGTTAATCAGAAGATAAAAATTGCTACCCATGTGATGAAGCTTACGATTAAGAGAAGAAGGCTGACAAACACAAAAATACACGGCATGTTAAACAGAGAAAGGTGTGTCGTCTGCATTTGGTGTATGACAAGATAACTGATATGGCCAGGGTACAGACAGGGTGGAGAGATACGGTGGGAGATTATGCTAGAAAGCAAGTCTGTTGTTGGATGACAAGGTACCTTACATAACGTTCTTAAAGAATGTGTACTTCACACTGTGGGCAAGTAGAGAGTCATTAAACAATTCAGTAACGGAGAATAATATAACTGGATTTGTGTTTAGAACTAAAAGTCTGGTAGGAATGCTAAGAATGGATTAGACATTAGAAATGATAAGACAAGGCTTATCCTCACAGAGACAGTCTAATGTGGGAGACAGTTAAATGCATGTAATACAGCATAACAAGTTCACTAATAGAAATATGTACCAGCTACATAACAGAGTAAAGGAAATGACCCCTCCGATCAGGGAGGGTTCCTACCTAAGTGATCTAAATAGACAAGCGGTCCAAACCAGGGCAATTACAGGGAAGAAAGATATCCTGTTGTCTCTACGAGTACTCACAGAGGGAAATGGTGGCGGCTTTTCATCTTGGGGATGCTCTCCTTTGAGAAGGAATTCTCTCCTGGCTCCCGAAATGAGAATGTAGCCCAAATGTTCAGTGTACTTCCAGACAGTGTGGAGGAGATCCACTTATATTTGCGGATGAGTTTTATTATTATCTGTACTCAATATACTTAAACTAAAAACAACACAAAAGCAATTCATTCACTTCTCTCACCCCACTCCTCACCTCTGAAACCACCAGTCTCTTCTTTGTGCTTGGTTTGTTTATGAGCTTCCATATATAAGAGAGATCATACAGTATTCATCATCCTTTGTCAGATTTATTACACATTCACTTATATTTGTATATGACTTTTTAAAAGATACATTGTGTATTAACTGTGGTCCTGAGAAAAATAGCTCTGTCATAAAAGAAATGAAAATACTACTTTCTCTATCCAGAGAACAACTGTCCTTAGAAAAGGGACTGAATAAGCAGCAAGTTACCAAGTACAAGAAGTCTGAGTGTCTTTGACATAGGACATAATCCACTGTTTACCCTTTCTCATTCTCTCAATTTCTATTCTTGCCAAGCACTTGTTCTAGAACTTCAGTCCATACCAGCACTAAAAACACTCAGCCTCAAGGAAACAGGCTCCCATTGCCAGGATGACAGTCAATGTAAACAATAACAATAATAATAATGGTAAATGCACGTGTGTATTTATGTGTATATATTTATTCTTGATCAGTATCTTTCCTCTCTGATCAGACTTGTCATTGCCTTTACTGTGCCACGTTGCTGGTACCTGTTTCTATTATTGAACTTCTCATGCTACATTTCGTACGTTTAAATGTCTGTCTCCCACATTAGACAGTCTCTATGGATAAGGACTGTATCTGACTCATCTCTGACACTAACATATCTGGCAAATAATAGGTGTTCAATAAATTTAATCTACATCTAAGTTTACATTGGAAGTAATAGTTTAATTACAGAGGAAATAACAACAATACAACCTATAGAGAAAAGCACTTCTCTTCTCCAAAACATTAATGCACAGACACGGGAAAGAGGGATAGTACACAACCAAGCCCTGAACCAAAACCCAGAGTATGTAACTTTACCGCTAAACACTGACAGGTGAAAAGTCCATGTGGTAACCTGAGGGATTTTTATGCCCTATCCTGTTGAGGCAATTCAGTCCAGCTCCTTTACCTCTGCTGTCACTAATCTTAAAACAAAGATCTGGTACATACTAGACACAATTAAATATCATTAAAGGAGATATCTGTTTTGTCTTAAACACAATTATTTGGTGTGTGTTTTTTCAAACCACTTTACTGAAGTATGGTTGACATGCAAAAAGCTGTTTATATATAATGTCTGTAACTCCATGAGTTTGGGGATAAGTATTCACCCATGAAACCATTACCACCGTCAAGGTCAGAGACATATTCATTGCCTCCCAAAGTTTCCTCTCACCATTGTTATTATCATGAATACGTATGTAGTAAAAACACTTAACCTAAGATCTACCTTCTTACCAAACTTTAAGTACGGAATACAGTTAGTGATAGGCACTGGGCAGACTAGTAAGTTCCCAGAACTTAAATATCTTGCATAACGGAAACTTTGTACCCTTTGACCATCTCCTATTTTCTCCTTTTCCAGCATCAGCAACTGTCACTCTACTCCCTAAGATTTTGACTCTGTTAGATTCCCTATATAAGTAAACAGAATTGTTTGATAGGTAAACCCCGTTGCCAAAGTGTTTAGCCTTGATGATGATTTGGTTGTAGAGATTGAGGCAAAGGCCCAACTGGAATGGGTTCAAAAAAGAATAGGAGAGGAATTAGAAAAGACAAGTATAGACAGCTCTTTCAAAGAGTTTTCCAGAAAAAGGAACACAAAAACAGTAGGCAGTAGTTGGGATGGGGGTGAGGGTATGACAAAAATTCAGGATTACCTCATTATCATTTTTCATCCAATCAAAAAAAAAAAAAAGAAAAAGAAAAAGAAAATCAAATAACCTAAGTGCAATAATTTATCTTTTACTTCAAGATTCATTTATGAAGCAAGGATTATTACATTCAGTCCTCCTTTCAGGAGGTCATAGTCAGGAATAAGTCATACAAATATAAACAAATACTGTATATAATTATTGTTCTACTTTAACAACAAACAATTGTGCATTTGGTACCGATGAGTTCTATTCAGCATTTGGTACTGATGAAAGTTCTATTTAACACTACCATATCCCATTTCAAAAGCTGCCATACGTTAGCTACCTGCCTTCCCTGATTCTGATTCTCTTGACGAATCTATCAGATCAAGAGGAGGCAGACAGCCTCATCTAACAGACTGAGAAGTTAAGATACAGACCAACTGAGTGATAGGCCCGGGATCACCTGGCTCAATTCATCAATTCAATTCAACAAATATTTATTGAGCACCTACTATGTGTCAGGCACTTTTCTATATGCTTCAGATATATCACATAGTGAATAAAACAGAAAAGAGCCCTGTCCTCTTGGGGCTGACATTTTGGGGCAGGGGTGGAGAGGTAGGCTATAAGCAATAAAAAGTAGAGCAGGGTAAAGAGATCTAAATGTGGAGAGCAAAGCAGGGAAGCAGGCTACAGACACAAGAGCACCCAGCATAGGCCTCATTCAGAAAAAAGATCCTACAAAGACTCAAAGACAATGAAGGTATTACCATTTTCTGAAGTAGTAACAATCTAAGCAGCAAAAAACAACTCTAGCAGAAGCTCTTAGGAAAGAGGAGATAGTGTACTCAGAGTTAGGAAGCTAATTTGGCTCAAGTCAAATGAGAAAGGCAAAGAGTCAGTGAACAACACATCACAGAAGGCCAAATTATATGAATTCTTTAAAACATGACTAAGGAGGGCGCCTGGGTGGCTCAGTGGGTTAAGGGGCTGCCTTCGGCTCAGGTCATGATCTCAGGGTCCTGGGATCGAGTCCCGTATCGGGCTTTCTGCTTAGCAGGGAGCCTGCTTCCCCCCACTCTCTCTGCCTGCCTGTCTGCCTACTTGTGATCTCTCTCTCTCTGTCAAATAAATAAATAAAATCTTTAAAAAAAATAAAACATGACTAGGGAACATGAGGAGTCACTGCAAGATTTTGAGTAGAGAAATGACAGAATCTGACATACTCTGTTTTACTTTTAAAAAATTTTTTAAAGATTTTATTTGTAAGTAATCTCTCCACCCAACATGAGGCTTGAACTTACAACCCCAAAATCAAGAGTCGCATGCGCTACTGACTGAGCCACCCAGGCGCCCCTGACACACTCTGTCTTAAAAGATCACTGGTGGCTGTGTTGGGAATATTCAACAAAGCTGCAAGAACAGAAGCAGACACACCAGTTAGAGGCCACTACGTTAAAACAGATGAAAAACACTTAATTCTACCCAGGGTGACATCAGTGGAGGTGGGAGGAAATGGTAAGACTCTAGATATATTTTGAAGGTACAGCCAACAGGATTTACTAAATGATTAAATGCAGAATCTGAGAGAAAGAGAAGAGTCCAGAATGCTGCCCAAGTTTTGGGCCTAAGCAACTGAAAAGAGAGAGTTGCCATCAACTGAGATAGGGAACAGATTTTGGGTGGGAGGATCAGGAGTTCAGTCTTGGAAATGTTCAGTTTGAGATGCCTATTAGACATAGAAGTAGAGATATCTAGTAGGCAGTTGGATATAAAAATCTGCAGTTCAGAAGGAAAGTCTTGGTTGAATGTCAAGAAATGGAACGATATCATCAAAAAACTGAGGATAGATAGTGAAGAGAAGTTCAAGCATTGGACCCTGGACACTTCAGGTCAGGGAAAAGAAGAGAAACTAGTAAAGGAGACAGACGGAGCAAACAATGAGAGAAGAAGAAAACTAAGAGAGTGTGAGGAGGTAGCCTGAAAGCCAACCGAATCAAGTGTATGGCAGTGGCCGGGGGGTGTGGGCAAGATGAGGGAGATCATCAGCTTTATCAATGGCAGCTAGTAAGGCGGATGGAGACTAAGAACAGACCACTGAACTAAAGAATCCAGAAATCACTGATGACCTTGATGAGAACAGTATGGCAGAAAGACTGAGGCTAAGGCCTAACTGGAATGGGTTTAAAAAAGAATAGGAGAGGGGGGTGCCTGGGTGACTCAGTGGGTTAAACCTCTGCCTTCAGCTCAGGTCATGATCTCTGGGTCCTGGGATCGAGCCCCGCATCGGGCTCTCTGCTCAGCAGGGAGCCTGCTTCTCCTCTCTCTGTGCCTGCCTCTCTGCCTACTTGTGATATCTCTCTCTGTTAAATAAATAAATAAAATCTTTTTTTAAAAGATTTTATTTATTTATTTGACAGAGAGATCACAAGTAGGCAGAGAGGCAGGCAGAGAGAGAGGTGGAGGCAGGCTCCCTGCTGAGCAGAGAGCCCGATGCGGGGCTCGATCCCAGGACCCAGAGATCATGACCTGAGCTGAAGGCAGAGGATTAACCCACTGAGCCACCCAGGCGCCCCAATAAATAAAATCTTTAAAAAAAAAAAAGAATAGGAGAGGAATTTTAAAAAGGCAAGTATCTACAATTCTTTCAAAGTTTTCCAGCAAAAGGGGAAGACAATCAGAGTAGGCAGTAGTTCGGAAGTAGTGGGATAATACGGCAAGGGTAATTAGCTGTTATTTTTGCTTTTTTAAGAAGGGAGAAATAATGAAAAGTATATTCTGATATAAATGATCCAGAACAGAGGGAAGTTTGCTGATGTAAGACAAGAGGGGTAGAATAACTCGAGCGATAACTCGGAGGAGGTGAGACAGGATAGAATCAGATCCCATGTGTCAATAGAGAGGTTTCATTTAGAAAAGACAGTGGATAGTTCATCTACAGTGTCTTAGTCTGTTTGGGTTGCTCTAACAGAATACCATAGACTAGGTGGCTTATAAACAACAGAAATTTATTTCTCATCGTTCTGGAGGCTAGCAAATTCAGTGTCTAGTGAAGACCTGCTTTCTGGTTCCCAGACTGTGTGTCTCTTCACTGTGTCCTCACATGGTAGAAGGAGCAAAGGAGCTCTCTGGGGTCTCTTAGAAGAGCACTAACCCTGATCATGAAGACCCCACCTCCTAATACCATCACAATGGGTTAGGTATCAACATACGAATTTCAAGAAAACACAAATATTTAGTTCATGGCATACTATTACCATATCTGGGCAGGCAGGCAGAGTGTGTGAGGGTATAGATGCTGGTGTGCGGATAGATGGGGCAGGGGGAGTCTGTGGAAGTTGTCTTCTTATTACTTGAACTTTCTTGGTGGAGTAGGAAGCAAGGTCAGCAACTAAAAGTGTGCATAGGGAAGGTCATTTGAGGGTTTGAGAAGACAGGAGAAAAAGTGTTAAAGTAGTGGTCTAGGAGAACAAAAGTGTGCATGAACTTGGAAGAGACAGCAGGATTGCCAGGCAGCATTAAACGTCCACTTGAGGCTCATGATCATGAATTTAAAGAGGAACCAATCGGCAAAGGTGTATGGTTTGCTCCATCTATACACAGTCACATGGATATGAACACAGAGCTGGTGGAGAGCTGAATTTTAAAAAGGTCAGGTTTTGCAAGAAAGGGAGAGATATATACAAGGGCATGAACATAATGATGAACCATGGAAGAGGGTGTGAAGGGTAAGGGATCAATAGACTGGAGATACTCTTGGGTTAAAGAATTATTGGGGTAGGGATTCTAGAGGGAGTGAGCCGCAAAGACAGGCAGTGCTGGTCAGGATGTGAAATGTTTACAATAGAGATGATGGAGAGAATGCAGTTTCAAAAATGAGAAGGTCCAGGGAACAGTTCCTCACCCTTGGCACTACTGGCAGTTTGGACTTTGTTCTTGGAGGCCATACTGTGCATTATAGGACGTTTAGCAGTATCCATGGCCTCTACCCACTAGATGCTAGTAGTACCAGCCACTCAGTGGTGAGAGTCAAGAATATCCCCAAACAAAACCACCTTGAGTTCAGAACCACTAATCTAGGGTATGGCCATGCTGCTCAGTGGTTGAGATCACTGGAGGACAAGCAGGTCAAGGAACAGAGTGCTGAGAGAACTGAAAGAAACACCTATGAGGTCATTGCAATTGCCAAAAATTCAGACAGATTAGTACTAGAGAGAGTGACAGGGAGCAGGAGCACATGAAACAGATGTCAGTAGATGACAACAATTAGGAGTGGGTGACATTTTCTGATGCAAAAGCTCAAAGCTGATAAGACTGTAAAAACTTACCACTATGGTAAGGCTGGTACAAGAACTGAGGCTCCTCTTCTAGGGCTTTTTTAAATGTCTAGAAGGTGGGCAGACTTCACATGATTTCATACTCAATTAAATTAGACTCACAGAGTCAAAAATAGGGGTCGGTCAAAAACAATTGGCACCATGTCTGGCTGCCATATATAACAAACAGCTGAAGGCACATATTTTTGGCTGAAGGCCATCCTAAAAATAGGACATAACATCTTGATTTAAAAAAAAAAAAACCTCAATTTTCTTTCTGGTCCTTAGAAATATGTATTATACGGCCTTTGATTAGAAAAAAAATCTTCTATTAAATGATTGTATTTATCTGTTTGCTACTGGACAACCATAACCAATGTTTTCTTTAGATAACCAGTCACCTTTACCTTCACATAGTTTAACCACTAAGGAGGACAAAAAGATCTTAATATGAAATGAACCAACTGCAATGTTCTCCAACTGTGTGTCACCTGCTCCTCTCACTGCCACCTGGAAAGACAGTGTCTTACCAGATTGCAAGCAGATTTAGAGCAAATGCCCAATTTTCATCCCCACCTCTTAAAAGCAATGGAAGTGCTTACCAAAAGCACTTCACAATGGAAGTGCTTACTGAAATTAATAAAGGTATCCCCTTTATAGGAGAAATAATTTCAAGATGGCAAAATCAAATTGTATGATATCTATTAAATTCTCCCAAACGTACTGTCTCATTGCAATAATTAAGTCTTTAGGCCACAAGGAAGCTATACTGACTGAACCTCCACAACCCTATCTGCAGAATTCTACCTTTTTTTACGGTTATACTGAATTTAAATTTTATAATGCACAAATGTGAAGCAGAAAAGATGGTGTTCAGGGAAACATGTGATGCTATCATCCAAGTCCTGTTCAACTTCACAGATTACCAAGTCTAATATTTAAAGCTCACACAAACAACAGTGAAATCCTCTCATTTTCAAATCCCCAAATAGAAAGTTGTCAGAGCTTAATTGTGATGCAATTATTACACTTTAATATATTGCTTTTATGACGACTAAGGTATTTTCTGGTATTGATTCTAAACGAGATGCTTTCCTATTAGGAAGAGACAAGATCTTCAGAGTAAAAACCAGGATTTAAATCTCAACTTGGCCACATTTCACTGTTATGTCACTTAATCTATCTGGTTTCATTTCATTTTCTGTTAAGTGAGGATAATATTAACTTAACAGTTACCGTAGAGAAAAAAGTCCCTACAGTATGAACAACAGAGTTCTGACACATAACAGTTGTTCAATAAATGAACAATTGTCCTCATATTGTGCTGTTAATTAAAACAAGCCTCAGATAATGGAAACACAATCTCTCTTCTTGAAAGATCGATAAAATATTTTAATTTTGTTATAATAGCTCATAAAGTCAGGCTTACAGTTATTTTAGTCTTTGTTTACAATCATAACACAAATTAACATGAAGAGCAGGTGCCTACCTTCCAAACTTTCTTGTTCATCTGAAGTATAAGCATCCATCTGACTTTGTTCCCGTAAGAAACGAATAACAGCATAAACTAAGTGCTTGATAGATGACATTTTAAAAGCTTAAACACTTTTCCTTGATAAGAAAAAGGAAAACAGTGATCTAAGTTATGTTAAAGAATTGGTCAGGAAGGTTATAAATAACAAGGTTATAAATTACACAGAAAGTAAAAAGCAAAAACAAAACTTTTATTACCTTCATTCTTGTTTTTAAAGACTCAGGAGAACACAAAGTATTGTTATGGTAAGGTATTACATATTTTCACTTATACCCAGTAATATTAAATTATGTTAAAACCTGCAAAAGTAAAATCGTCCTCAAAACATGTAGAACACAAGCTCAGACACTCACTGAATATCTCACTGTATCTTAACAGCATGTATAATACAGATACAGATCAGGACAGAATAGATACAGATATAGAAATCCCCAAAAGGCCTCAGTACTAAGTTCAGGGAGATTTCATAGTGCTGACTCAGAAGCTCGTCTAAAATGACCATCCTCCTCTATTTCATTCGATTTTTAAAAAATGTATGTATAATTTACCCTGCATCAACTTTTGTAGGCTTAGACTGTTATTTGAGGAGGAAATACATTAATGAAAGGGCGTTCAACCACTGAATGTCATTCTTAATAAAAATGGTATTTCTTTTTTAAACAAGACATGTCGGAAAATCATTGCCTAAGTCGATGGATACTACACACCGACCAACGCTATCTGCGGTAGCTCTGCTCTCGTGGACAAGCTGGAAGCTCCCGGTCATGTTCATTCACATGGAATACTATCGCATCCAAACAGTGGCGCAGGGCCAGCCGGCCTTAATGGCTTATTTCCACTAAATCGCATCATCCATCTGTTCCCCAGGTTCCCTAATCCAAAGCCAGGGTGTGGTACCCGCCGCCAGGATGTTTATTATTTCTGGGCTTATTTTAAAGGCAAGCCCAGTCTTTAGGCCATGGGGTTGCAAGTGTTAAATAGGGTCCAGGGCAGAAGGTGGGGAAAAAAAAAAAAAAAGAAAAAAGAAAAAAAAAAAGAAAATTAAGAAAGAGGGGAAACGAAGATATTCAACCTCCTCCAGGCTTCTCCCCCTTCTTCTCCCCAGAGAACATCGACCTCCTTCTCCCTCCCTTCAGTACCCGGGCCTCGCTTTGGCCCAGACGGGGTTTGCTGCGGGTGCGCGGTGCAGGCCCCAGCTGGGGCGGTGGGAGACGCACCCATCCCAGACAGAAGCCCCTTACCAGGCGAGAGGACGCGACACAGCGGCAGCGGGCCTGGGGGCGTCCGTAAGCCGGTACGCCCGCCCCCTGGTCCTCCGGCTTCAACCTGGCTCCGGATGGCAGCACTGCCCACGGTCGCCCAAACTTCCCCGGCTCCCAAGCCGCCGCCGCCCCTCAGCCCACCCGGCAGCGCGCTGGGCTCCCCGCCACTGGGTCTCGCCAGAACCGCCCCCCAGGTGGCGCAAGGCGCGCGGGGCGGGGCGCAAGTCGGGGGGGCGGGGCCGAACTGGGCGCCGGCGTGGGGCTGCCGCACGTGGGAGGGCGCGGACAGGGCCGGTCGCCGCTGCAGCTGTTCCCTCCTCCTGTAGGCCGACTCTCGGCTCCCCGACCCGAAACCGGAGGACAACGCGCCCGCAGCCGCCTCTCGGCCGTCCCATGATCGCCCAGTGCCTTTCAGCTGTGCGAGGCCTCCACAGGTACCTCCCGTGCGCGGGTTAACCTTGACTGTGGGCCGGGCGTGGTCCGGTCTGTGCCGGGTGCCCGTGGTCAGCCTTTCCCGAGCGCACCCCTCCGACGCCCCTGAGACTTTCATCCCCGTGGCCCGCATGCTCTACCCTGAGGGACACCTGGCGCGGGCACTGGGGGCCACCTTTCCTTCCTCCGCTCCCTCGGGAGGACATTCATTCCCTTTGTTTGGGAGTGTCTCAGCTGCAGTCCGCGAGACTGGTCGCAGGCCTGGCCCAAAATGAATGCAGAAAGATTGTTCGGATAAGAAAAGCATTTGACTTCTGTCCCGCATCCAGAACTGCAGACCTCTTATTAAAGGTGCCGGCAGCTGTAGACTCAGGAATAGCGATTCTAATTTGCCCCTCGCGCATATCATTAGCATACAAATCGTTTAACAAACACGCACGTGAAACCGTTATGGTTTTGCTGCTTATCTCCGTCCATGCTCTCTAATTTCCTTTTTATTTACCTCTTCCCCATAAAACATTAGGCCTCTTGCTGGGGCAAATTGACTTGGCCCAAAATGGAGGAAATTTTTGCTAGGACACGGTTTGGGGCAGCCTCAGCTGCTGTTTTGGATTGCTTCCTAGCTCCCAAGCCACACCCCTCTGCCACAGACCAGTAGCAAGATGGTGAGAGAATTAAATTCTTTGCACGGATGCACTAGATGGAGTGGTTTTCGGAAACAATGCCTCTACCACCCCCATCCCCAAATCCAGCCTGGAACTGTAAATCCTAATGACGATCCAACAGAAAAAAAAAGGAAATATGTGTTTCTTGCTAGATACTTATAGAACTACTTTGGAAAATGTTCAACATTTGAGCTTTTTGACAGTTTTCTATTGTATATGACCACTTATCTGTGTGGAGCTTTGTGTTGCTCAGTCCCTGTAATTATGGTGCATCCAAGGGACAGTATATAAAGAGTTAATGTGATGATTTTTACCATATTTCACACTGTCCTTTTAGTCTGCAGACTGCAATTGATACAGCTTCAAATGCATCTGTTTGTTGGGACAAATGAAGATACTCACATAATGCAGGTGTGAGAAGAGAATAAATTTTGTACAAGACAGCGCTTCTCAGACTTTTTAGTCTCAGGACCCCTTTACCTTGCAAAAATTACTCAGGACCTAAGAGCTTCTGTTTATGTTGGTTATAACTCTCCATATTTACCATATTAGAAATGAAAATTGAGGGATTTTTAAAGTATTAGTTTATGTAAAAAAAATGTAATAAACTCATTACCGGCACAAATAACATTTTTAATGAAAAGTAACTTTTCCAAAACTCCTCCAAAAAAAATCAGTGAGAAAGTGGAATTGCGGTTTGGTTTCTTTTTTTTCCTTCAGTTTTTGTGGGGTTTTTTTATGGTTGTGAAATATACATAACACAAAATTTGCCATTTTAATTATTTTTAAGTGCACAATTCAGTGACATTAAGAACATTCATATAGTTGTACAACCATTACCATTACCATTAACCATCTCCAGTTCTTACTTATTATCCCAAACCGTAACTCCTCCTTACGTTCTTTCCCATCCCTGGTGATCACTACTCTTTCTGTCTTTATGATTTGGACTGTATTAGGTACCTCATACAAGTGGAATCATGCAATATTTATTTTTTTGTGACTGGCTTATTTGAGTTAGCATGTTTTTAAGGTTCATCCCTGTTGTAACTTAGGTCAGAATTTTCTTCCTTTTTAAGGCTGAATAATATTCCATTGTTATCAATATACCACATTTTGTTTGTTTATTCACCTGTCCATGGTCATTTGGGTTGTTTCCATCTTTTGGCTGTTTTAAATAATACTGCTATGATCACAGATGTGCACAAATCTGTTTTTGAATCTCTCCTTTCAGTTCTTTGGCGGGTATACTTAGAATTAGTGGATCCGTATGGTAATTCTGTATTAAATTTTTTGAGAAACCACTATGTTTCCCATAGCACTTGTACCATTTTACATTCATGTCAGCGGTGAACAAGAGTCCCATCTTCTCTATATCATCTTCAACATTTGATTTCTGTTTTTGTTTTTTATAAAAACTATCCTAGGAGTGGTATTGTTTCACACTTGTGCAAAACAAATGTGTAACTTAACAGAAAATAGCTGGATTCTTACATCTCCTTCTGCATTTGATTACTTTTTTGTTTTGGTTGAAGGAGATAAAGAAAATCCCACCTCTCACTTATATGTAGTTGGAGAAATGGGAGTATTTAACAGTTTTTTTAAAGTGATCATGGATTTTAAAAAAAGTGATCATTGATATGCCCTGATATTTATATCATACCAAAGTTTGACAAGTTGTTGTTTAAAGATGAGTTGCATTGCAGAATATGAAATGATCAATGTACTTTTCGTATTCTGTTACATTAAAATCCATGTGTCTGTCTTGGGTTTTAAATGGATCTTTTAGGGACACCTGGGTGGCTCAGTTGGTTAAGCGGCTGCCTTCGGCTCAGGTCATGATCCCAGAGTCCTGGGATCGAGTCCCACATCGGGCTCCTTGCTCGGCAGGGAGCCCACTTCTCTCTCTGCCTCTGCCTGCCACTCTATCTGCCTGTGCTCACTCTCGCTCTCTCTCTCTCTGACAAATAAATAAATAAAATCTTTAAAATAAATAAATAAATAAAAATAAATGGATCTTTTAAATGGATTTTAAATGGATCTTTTACACATACATGATTTTCTAATATCAAATATGGGTTACTTGGAAAATAGCAGTACACTGTGTTATGCAGATTTTCCTGATGTTGACACATTACATTATACAATATCATATCGCATTCCTTTATATCATCTACCCCACCATAAATGGCTTGAAGTATTAGGAAGCTGGCCAGCTCGCAGTGGCAGATACAGTTTTCAAAATTGTAATTTTCACTTGAAGGCTGAAATTTTATCATTGGTAACAAATACTATCAGTTCCTCGAAGTGACAGTCTGACTTTGTTATAATTTTGCGAGCACTTCTGCTGGATACTTCAGTCTGATCAATCATAGTTTTTGTCTGTCACTCGTCTTTTCAAGTACAAATAATGTTCCATGGGAAAAGCAACTATTTCAGCTCACAATTTAATCACTTGCACAGTGCTTTTGGTTTGAGCAACCAAATCTTCTGGACGGCCCTTGTGCTCAAGTATACAGCAGAAGTGCTTTATACATACTTTGCCACACATATCATTCAGTGATTGAGATTTAATAAAATTATTTTACTATTTAATGAAAGTGAAATTGACATTTTTAGCATGAGTCAGTGGCAGTAGAAGAATATGATAACTGCTTAGATTGGTGCCACTGCCTTGACATCTTCAAAGGAGCCAACAATTACATCTACCATTGCTTCTTACCATCAGTACAAATTTTGATCAAGTGAAAAAAGTAAAGAATATCATACCATTATCATGATGTAGAACTTGAAATGCTTTCAAGGACCCCTCCCCATATTCCCACCTGTAAGGACTGCAGAACACACTGTGAGAACCACTGATACGTGTTACTCAGATTCTTTGTATATGCATGGAAGAAAATAAATATAAGCCATGAAATTATTATCTTATTAGAAGCTGGTAGCCAACCAAATATATCAACTATTTTTTTCATTAACATATAATGAATTATTAGCCCCCGGAATACAGTCTGTGAATCGTCAGGCTTACACACTTCACAGCACTCACTATAGCACATATCCTCCCCATTTTTAAATTTTATTTTTAATTTTTTTATTAACATATAAAGCATTATTTGCCCCAGGGGTACAGGTCTGTGAATCGTCAGACTTAAACACTTCACAGCACTCACCATAGCACATACCCTCCCCAGTGTCCATAACCCAACCACCCTCTCTGTATCCCTCTACATCCGGCAACCCTCAGTTTGTTTAGTGAGATTAAGAGTCTCTTATGGTTTGTCTCCCAATCCCATCTTGTTTCATTTTTTCCTTCCCTACCCCCCAAACCCCCACTTTGCCTCTCAAATTCCTCCTATCAGGGAGATCATATGATAATTGTCTGTCTCTGATTGACTTACTTCACTCAGCATAATACCCTCTAGTTCCATCCACGTCATTGCAAATGGCAAGATTTGATTTCTTTTGATGGCTGCATAATATTCCATTATACATATACATACACACACACATACATACATACCACATCTTCTTTATCCATTCATCTGCTGATGGAGAGTCTAGGTTCTTTACATAGTTTGGCTATTATAGACATTGCTGCTATAAACATTTGGGTGCATGTGCCCCTTTGGATCACTACATTTGTATCTTTAGGGTAAATACCCAGTAGTGTGATTGCTGGGTCATAGGGTAGCCCTATTTTCAAGTTTCTGAGGAACCTCCATGCTGTTTTCTAGAGTGGCTGCACCAGTCTGCATTCCTACCAGCAGTGTAGGAGGGTTCCCCTTTCTTTGCATCCTCACCAGCATCTGTCATTTCCTGACTTGTTAATTTTAGCCATTCTGACTGGTGTGAGGTGGTATCTCATTGTGGTTTTGATTTGTATTTCCCTGATCCCGAGTGATGTAGAGCACTTTTTCATGTGTCTGCTGGCCATCTAGATGTCTTCTT